GGGGGGGACAGAAAAAGACATATACTCCAGTAATGAAGTGGTGTACATACAAGGAGGAAGCAGCGACGCCTTGACAGGGAAGCGGGCGGGCAGAGGGGGGTCGATGTCGATGTCTGACCACCTCGAGGGGGTGCTGGGTGCTGCTGCTGGTCAACTGCCAGCTAAAGGCGGGGTGACGATTTCCAAAAACAGCAAGCGCGGGAACATACTCTGTTAGCAGCCTCGAGACTCACCGGCGCACACACAAAACTTGACGCTATAATGTCAGTACAACAGAACAGAACGGAATATACACATTTCACTTTGATTAAAATTTGTGAACTTTTACAGAGCCCATAAAGTTTTGTGCTCGTCTTGGTGAGGCGCACGGTTAAATTCTTGTGATTTTCCCTCAGCTTGACGTATCGCAGTGCATAGCGCTCAGCTTGACGTATCGCAGTGCATAGCGCTCGAACTCTGTACTCCTGATTGCCTGCCGTGTCCTGGGCCGGGCGGGGCGCGGCGGGTCGAGGCGCGCCTCGAGGCGTGGGAGAGGCGGTCTGGGCCGCCGGCGCCCTGGGCAAACACAGCGGGGAACCGGCCAGCGCCGGGCAGGCCCGGGCAGGCCCGGGCAGGCCAGGGCCGAGCAACAGTTTGCCAAAGCGGCACGCCTGCCTGGAGGATCCAGCCCGCCAAGGCGCGCGCTCCAGCCGAGTCAAGAGTTTCGATCAGCAGACGTCTGTTTGACGGAGGAGGGACAAGACAGTTCCAGCCGAGCAGGGAGTACAGCAGGAGGTACACCCAGAAAACCTATTCTTTGGGGAAAAGCAACTTTTAACGAAAATTTCGTGAGAGAAACCAAAGTCAAACTTTTCGTTCAGATGACGGGAAAATGTATTAAAAACAACGAAAATTTCGTTCCTACAAAGAAAAGGTATATGTACACCGATACTGACTAGAATGTAGAATGGTCGAAAAAAACAATGATGCAAAAAAGTTTGGTGCTTTTCACAAAAGGACTAAAAACATACCAAAAACAAGACACTATTTTTATCCACCTTTTACGGTCGACCTTGAGTGCCTCTATATGAGGCATCTTTCGCATCCACGGAAAAACGATAAAGGTTCCCGCTACATGCTGTGCCGTTTTCCTTACCGCACGGGACCATCTCAAGGAGAAAGAAAGAAGTAAGCCTGAAAGTAGGGGCGGTTAGGTTATGATTCGTCGAAGGCGAGGGCGCCGAGGGCTGAGGGGCGAACTCCGCCACGGCGGCCTTGGGTGGCCGCGGAAGCAACAGATGCCCCGCCCGGGGTGGACGCCAGAGGGGCCAGCCCAGCAAAGGGCCACCGCGGCCCTTCCGCTGACTGACCGGAAGCAGCTGGGCGGCTAGAAAGTAAAAAGCCGAGGGCCGATACACGACGGCAAAAAGGGAAATGATGCAGAAAGTTTCGGCGTGAACCGGGCGGCAGTGACAGCCGCCAGGGCGGGGGCGGAGGCGCCGGGGGCTGGCGGGGGCAGCGGAGGCGGGTGCTGCTGATGAAATGTACGCCCGGCGGCGGCCACGGAATGTTGGGGAGCATGAAAGAGAGTCAGTCGTATGTACCGAGCGCGTAGCGTCGGCTGGTTTGAGGTGCGGGGGGCGGCGGCCCGGGCGGCCAAGGACGAGGAGTGGAGTTGGGCGCGCGTAGGCGCTGCTGAAGTCGAAGGAAGGAAGCAAGGTCGGGTCCCTGCCGTTAGGGAGCGACCCGGGCCCTCGGTGAGCCGCCAGCAAAGGCACGAGGAAGGCTGGCCATCACTGCAAACCCCCTTAAGTGTGACGTTTCGTGCTCGAAATATGCGAGTGAGCAAAGTGCTTATTCGCCCAACGGTGACGAGGAGTTTTCGGGGGCCTTTTAGGGTCGCGCCCTATCTTTAAGCCACTCTAGGCAGATTAGGCTCTGATCTCACCCAGCTGTAGTGAGCCTGGAGGAATCTCATACTCCCTAATGTGGCGATGACCCCCAAATATTCCTCTACTGCAGCGAATTTCGAATATAAAAATATCGATCTCAGGCGAGCGAAAAGATTATCGCATACATGCTGATCTCCTCGGATCTCCTCTTGAGAGAGCTCCTGACTGTTTGCGATGATCCGCTACCAACCTTTAAGTGCCAATGTACAGCTCTTCATATGCAGCCCTGTGGTGTAGGGTGGCCGGGCTGTCAACAGCTGGCTAGAGTTCTTTATGTGGCGTCCTCGTAGCCCGACATAGCGGGGCGCGCGCTGCGGCAGCACAACTAGCGGCACGGGGATGGAACAGTGCGCTTTTGAATCGGGAGAGAAAAGCGAGGCGGGCTCGCATGGAACTTGCGCGTTCGCTCTACTCTTTGCTACTACTCGAACTGGAACAGGGAAAGTGCTTTTTGAAATCCGACTCGCTCGTGGATGACATGGAGAGAAAGGGGGAGAAAAGAGGGGAACGCACGGGGTGGGTGGTTTATGCGGGATAGGAGGCGGGAGCGGCTACTCGTGATCCCGCTGAACCGCCGGCAGAGAGCTGTTCTGAGCCGTGGCAGAATGCAGCATCAAGGCCGCACGGCAGCGCTGCCGGGCGCATATATTGATTTGGAAATTATTTTGTTCTTTGTTGTGTTTCCAAACAGAAGAAAATGGCGTACCAGAGAAAAGTCTGGTCGGGAAAAAGGGAGGGGAAAGAAAGGGGGGGGGGAGGGACGTGGATGAGCAAGAGGCTTTGGACGTGCTTGGTGCGGCGGCGGCGGTAGCGGGACGGGGCGCTTTCTTGTCTCGTCTCCGCGGCCCTCAGACTGAACCGTGAACGCACGCTGCACGAATGAGCAGCAGCTTGGGGAGGGGGGCGTCCGCTCCAACACTTTCAAAACGGCGAGCGCGGTGCTGCTGCTGCTGCCGGCTCCCCAAAGGGGGCTCAGGGGGCGCGCTCAGGCGAGAGGGGCGGCGCGGGCACGGGCGCGGGCGCGCGGCCCAGACGGGCGGATTTACACACCCGCCAAGCCTCGAGCGCAGTCTTTAATGATGAACGACCCGCTCCTCCAGGAGCAGAAGAAGAAGAAGGAGCAGGAGGATGAGGCGTGGGGCGGACTACTTACAGCACCGATATAAGAGAGACGCGCGCCCGCGTGTGTGTGTGATGTTGCTGTAGGTACGCCGCGTGTAGCTACACGGGCCGTTACCACGAGCGGGCGGCACCCCGCGTGGCACACACCCCGCGCGCTGCTGCTGCTTTGGTGCTGGACGCCGTGTTGTAGGACGTACAGCCAGTACACGCCGACATTGTATGCCCACGCCCCTGCTGCTGCTGCTGCAGCGGCGCGGGCGCGGCAGAGCGAAGCGGGTGAGTTGTGGCCAAACCAGCGCAGCAGCAACACAACACACAGCAACAGCAACAACAGCACGGCGACGGGACCGCACTGTCCGGCCAGGCCAGGCCCCGTGGGGCTGCAGGCGGGGGGCCAGGGGGCCCCGCGCAGCCCATCGGCTGTAAAACGCCCCTGGACAGCCTGGTGGTGGGAGGGGGGGGGGGGTAGTGGTGTCCGGCCGCGGTGGTGGTGGCCGGCCGAGGTGGTGGTGGCGGTGGTGGTCGCAGCGCGGCCGTGGTGGTCGTAGCCGTGGTGCTGGCGGTGGTGGCCGTAGTGGCGGCGGTGGCGGCCCCGCAGCAGCTGCCCACGACCTCTCGTAAAAGACGTCAAAAGAGGGACTCGCTGCTTGAAATACTGCCCCGCGCACGCACCGCGCGCGCACGTGGGGGCACGCCACACGGCGCCGCCGGCCCGCCGTGGGACGTCCGCCGAGAGTGAGCGGTCGAGATTGAGCAGAGTAGAGGACTATACCAGACTTCACCTCCGGGGCGCCGCCACGGACGAGTGTCGCCAGTCACCAACAACTGCCTCCCTTATACGACTCTTACGACCACTTTGAGCGCCCCCCGTGTCCGCACTGTCAGGTGTTCGACAAACGGCTAACAAACAGCCGCAAAACACGGGTCACCGCGAGTGGCTGAAACCTACAATGTAGTCAAACACGACTGAAACGGCGGCCACCTCCTAGTCGTTCGGCGCGAGGAGGGTTGTCTGTATCGTCCCCTCGCGCAGCTCCGTCGAGCCGAACCCCCTGGTGGGTAGGCAACCCGCCCGCACGACTGCATTGCGGTACAGCGCGAAAGCGCGCGCGAGGGGTTCCGAGCCAGTTCTGAGAGCGGGCAGCCCGTCAGGTGACAACGACACTCACGCTTTTGCCCGTTAATTATTGAAGGCGCGATTGCCGATGTCCTGTCCGCAGGGCGAGGAGGGTGACCTTCGGTGACCTTGATCCAGTGACCCACAGTTCACACAGTGACCCGAACGGGGACTGCAGCCAAGTCGTCATAGAGCGCTGATCACACACGCGGTGGCGGTGGCGGTGATGGTGGTGCGGTGATTTCGGGGGG